ATGACTGGGAAGGAAGAGGCTATCGACAAGTATGTCAAGTGTGTTGAAGATACGTTTGGGAAGTGCAAACTGAACAAGCACACATACACGAACTGTGCTGTCCGGTACAACAAGACCGATGATGGGAGCGTCACTCTCGACCAGGACGAATACATCAAACAGCTTCGTCCTATCACACATCCAGAACTCACAGGAGCTGATCCTGAAAGCAAGGCGACGAAGACAATTTCTGATATGTTCGTCAGTCTTCGTGGCGCTCTAGCCTATGCGTTGATCACGCAGGTATGGCTAATGGTCTATGTTGTCTCACTACAACGTATCCAAGAACCGACAAACATCCAGGTACGACGACTAAACGCGGTTACCAGAAAATTGCAGGCAGGCCCGAAGAAGATCGTGTATCATGCTATGACTCCAACAGGAGAAGTCGACCTGCATAGCGATTCTGGCTATCGTCGTCTCAACGGAGATGAAGACGACGAAGTCAAAGGCTATGGTATCCGCGGGGCTAACCTGCTGAGGCGTGGCCACACGCAAGCGGGGAAACCCGTCGTGCACCTGGTGGACGCATACTGCAAGTCTCATCGACTGCAAGTGCGTTCGAGCTACTCTGCGGAAACACTGGCAGCAGCCCACAACTTGGAAGACTGCTACCCGACCATTGTAACGCTCCACGAGCTACACTCGGGACCATTGACCCCCACACAGTTGAAGAACATATTGGAAATGGGTGGTCTATGTATCAAAGTCACTCTGACTATTGATGCCGAGTCTGTCTTCAAATCTTTGTCTAGCAAGGATCTGAAGAAGCCCACAGAGTGTACTCTGCTTGGGCACATCAGCTGGATTCGCCAGATGATGGAACGTGGAATCGTGGAAAGCGTCCAATGGTGTGACACGCGGGATATGACTGCCGATGGTCATACCAAAGGTAGCATTGACCGCGCGTTGCTCCTACAAGTAATGGCCGGCCAGCAATCCTTCAAGCACGAGCTGAAGAAACATACGCCGTATAGGGCGGGCAGGTCGTCTCAGGACGGCCCTGCCTCCCGAGCCAGCGGGGAAACCCGCGGGCAGGTGCGCTTTAGCAGCGAGGAAACTCGCCGGTAGCGAGGCTACTCGCGCGCCCTTTCCTTGTAGGCAGCCGCTGCTGCTTAGCACTGTTTTTCCGCATAATAGAAGTGCGGTACCTGCTCGTCTCCTCCCCCTCCGACTTTAAACGGAGAAGGTTAAAGGCGAGGTATAAATCGAGCATGTACCGCTGCCGTGCCTGGCTCAAGCCGGGCCCGGCCTGATATGTGACTGTGCCTCACCGAGGCGCACTACTTGCATCTGAGATCGGAAAACATCCTTTCCATTGACGATGCCCATCTTACTCTATACTCCAGATCCCATGCTTCGTCTCGCTCTCTTGCTCATGCGATATGAGCCAAAGCCTGGGATATGGCAACGCCTAAGGCGTAACACATACCTAAGCTTACCAGCTTGTTTTCGACTACGTTACAGTCGGGTCCCTGAAGAAGGAACCCTTTTCGTGGGGGAGGGGCTCCGTGTTCCTTAATTGTTTCACAGTTTGCCTTCTGTTTTCCGTAGGTTTTCGATGGGAAATCGAAGTTGAACTCATGGAAAAAAGGGGCCTCGTTCCTAATTTAGGGTTCCTTAGGTCAACGCCCTGACTGTAGTTGGGAAAGGGTCAGGGGGCATGCATCGACCCCCAATCGCCCACTCGGTGCCGATGGGGGCCCGATGGTCGACGCCGCCCCAGGAGCGTGCGGATTTGCCATCTCGGGTCCACCGCCGATCCATCGGCAGTGTATCGCCGATTCCAGCTCGATGTTTGCCCCCCTGAGCCAGTCCCTCCCCCCAGTTCCCTCTCAGCGTCGGGGTGCGTCCAGGCCCCGGCTGGCGACGACGACGACGACGACGACGACGACGACGACGACGACGACGACGACGACGACGACGACAAGGAGGCAGTTGCGGAGGAAGCGGGTCTGAGAGGTTCAAGTGCTCCCACGAGGGCGCGAAGTCATTCGCGCTTCGCGGTCCTCGTTCCTTCTCCCCCTCCTCCTCGTCCTCCTCTTCTCCCTTTGGGGGGGCGGCGCGAGAGCGCGAAGTCATTCGCGCGTCGCGGAGCGCGAGAGCGCGAAGTTGGGAGCCCTCTGTTCTTGGCCTCGGGGCCCGCCCTGGGCCCGGGATGCCATCGAGGAACGACAGCGACGAGGAGGAGGAGGAGGCAGTGGCGGAGGAAGGCGGGTCTTGGAGGTTCTCCTTGTTCCTCGGGGCCCGCCCTGGGCCCGGGATGCCGCCGCGGCACGGCCCGGGGCACGGAGCCGGCCCCGGCGGGGCACGCCCCGGGGGCTCCAGGGCCCGCCTCTGCCCTCGGGGGCCGCCGCCCTCGTGCCACACGTCGGGGCGCACGGGGTCCCGCGCCGGCCACGGCGAGGACGCGGGAGCGAAAGAAGAAGGTGCGCGCACTCGAGTCCACGCTGGTTTCGAGAGTGCGCGCTGCGCAGATGTTCGCCTGGCGCGGCCAGTCTCGCGGATCGAGGGGCCGTGTTCGCGTGCACAGCCGGGCGCGCACGTCCTCCAAAGGGCTCCCTGGCGACGCAGCCCGACGACGCCGGCTCCCGCGGGGCGGCAAGCGGCACGAGGGGCGTCGGCATGCGTCGGAGAGGGAGGGGAGGTTCGGGGATCGATGCCCCGGACGCCCCAGGCCCTGGGCCTCCACGGGCCTCTGGGAGGAACCCCGCGGAGGCATCCGGGGGCCTCTGGAGGCCTCCTCGGGTGCGCGGCGCGGCGTGCGTCGGGGTGCGTGTCGGCGGCCAGGAAGAGCAGGGGTCCTGCAAGCCTCGGCAGAGCTGAAATCCTGGAGCACCATGCCGTCGGGCGCCTGTCAGAAAACGCGTTCTTCAATGCTGGAGAGGGCGGGATCGGTTTTTGGACGACGCCGCGTCCGAGTCAGCAGACATTCGCCAGCATTGGAGTAGCGCTGACCCCACCATCACCGAATGCATACCAGGCTTGCAGGGTAAAGAGGATCCCAGATATTGTTTCGCAGTTTTCGGCGTGACGTCTCTGGAGCCAATCCATGCCTATATGCTTTGCCCCAGCAGCAGAGGGGATATCCATGCCCAGATGCTTTTGCCCCAGCAGCAGAGAGAAAATCTTTATTATCCAGCCCTCCAGGCAGGGAGTCCTGCGAGCTGGGTGGCTTGGGAACGCCCCTACCCAGTGCTGGCGACGTGCCTCGGGAGTCGGAGTCGGGGGCCGACCGCGTACTTGGCGCAGCCAGACTTGGGTAGAAAGTCGGAAAAGTGAGGACGAGTAATTACATTTGTGGGCCAGGCGCATCCGCGGCGCGGGGACGTGACCCCAAGAGCCCTCATCAACATCCAAACGGTTCAGCACCCACGAGCAATGGGGCGCGGGCATCAGCCAGGATTGCGGACGCTCGCACGACCCTGCGTGCAGAAAGCACGCGCCCGATGATCAGTTGGGTATGCTGGACCCGTGGCCAACACGTGCGTTAAGAATCGAATAGCGGCAGGCCCCAACATGCCTCAAGTGCTTGCTGCTGCGCCTCCCTTTCCTCGCATGCTTCACTCCTTATATTGCCACTCGCATCCGCAAGGCAATGAGGCAGATGACAACGCTCTCGCGCGTGCAGATGTGTGGGGCTGAGGGCAAACGGCGAACGGCAGTACGATCTGCGACAGGCATGACATAACCACGCCGTCCACAACACAAAAAACCAGGCTGTAGTATTGCAGTTATCTGGTGGATGCGACTGGGAATAGTACATAGGCCCGAGACATGGTCGCACACGATCAGATTCGGTGCGGTTCGATTCGCGGGCTGGGCCGTGATTCTGATTCGATTTGGCTCGACTCAGGTACCGGTTGGGGCCAGCCAAAGTCGGTCGCGGCGATCCGATTTCGATCCGATTTGGAACGCGATCCGCTGGCGATCCGATCCGTTTCCGATCCGATTTTGCGATTCGATCCAGTTCAGGCCTGCCAGAATGAAACCTACACGAACGGCTTCACCCCCGTACTGAATATTGGCGGCACGCCCCGGGGGGTAGGCAGAGGGGACGGGCCTTCTCGAAAGGTTCAGGAGGCCTCCAGCCTGGAGAAGTGTTCTGAACGCTCTCCGAAGCCCCGCCGCCTTCTGAGAAGGATGGACCCCCCTCACTGCAACTCCTGGGAGGTTCGAGTCAGCATCGGCGCTGCTGTGTCCGTGGTCGAGAACCAGCCTAACCCAGCATGATCCCGCTTGAGTGGGCTTCGGGGTAGCCTGACCCAGCATGATCCCAGCCTAACCCCGACGATGCCCGATAAGCCAAGATTGAACCCAGTAACTGGGTTCAATCTTGGCTAATCGGGCGCAGTTGCGCCTCAATCGGGCTCAGTAGCTCTTCGTCGTCCTCACGAAGAGCTCCCACGAGTTACTTCCCTAACTTCCCCCTCGGCGCGTCGCCGAGAGTTGGTCGCCCTGGGCCCTGGGAAGGTGACAGACCGCGCGGCGACCTTGAAGCCCCGAAAGGCCCCACCGCACGGTCCGTCACCGCACGGCATTGGGACCTTGCGAGGCCCCAGTCGCCAGAGATATTCTCGGAAAGCGACCCAGCTCCCGAACCTCTGCGGCCACCCCGAACCCCACTTGCCCCCCAGGGATGGCCACCCTGGTGTAGTTTCCCCCTCCCCCGGACACCAGATCCGCCATACTGTCTGCTTGATTTTCCAATTGTATCGGAAATGCATCCCAAGCGATGCGGAAAAGATAGGGCGGAAATTTCTGCCTCGGCAAAAGAGGGCGGCTCTTTCTGCAGCTGTATGGCAGAGTCAGCGGCGGCAAAGGTGGATCCGGAGTCGGGGCCATCCCTACTGGGCCTCCCATGGGGGCCTCCCCCGGGTGGCCTCTCCCAGGGGGCGCGGTCCGTCATTACACGGTGTGGTCACCCCGTGCTCCATTGGAATGGCCCTTCCCGCCGTCAGGCTCGGCGACCCGGGCGCGGCCGCTCTCGGCGCGCCAGCGGCGGCACCGCCGCCGGTGCAGGCCGTTGGCGGCGGGTCGCCGTTGCCGCAGTCATCGACGTCATCGTAGTCTTTTTCCTCCTCGTTCTCCTCCCCCTCCTCCTCCTCCTTCTCCTCCCCCTCCTCCTCCTCCTCCTCCTCTCCTCCTCCTCCTCCTCCTCCTCCTCCTCCTCCTCCTCCTCCTCCTCCTCCTCCCCCTTCCTCCTCCTCCTCCTCCTCATCATCCTCCTCGTTTTCCTCCTCCTCCTCCTCCTCCTCCTCCTCCTCCTCTTCCTCCTCCTCCTCCTCCTCCTCCTCCTCCTCCTCTTCCTCCTTTTCCCCCAAGTCAAACTCAAATGGTAGGTCCTCCTGCTTTGCCTGCTTTTCGCCTTGTCCTTGCCATTGTCTAAGGGGGGGTGCTTGCTGTGGCGATTTGGCTCAAGGTGACAACCTCCGCGCCCGCTTCGCATTGTCAGCCTCGCTTTACATCGCTTTATGTTCCTTCACTGATAGCCATCTTCACCTTCCTGGACACTCTTTTATAGTTGGTAGCGGAGCAGGTTTACCCTCGTTCCACTACCACGGCCGCCATGTCCCGACTCGCCTCGATGGCCATGGCTCCCACTTTCCGTCGCTCTACATCGCGACGCCTGTAGGATAGATCACTCAAGGGTACGTCAGGGCTGGACCAGCCCTTCCGCAGGAACACTTCGCCGCGCCGCTCTGCATGCCGCCCTTTACTGCTCCACATACGCCGTCGACATCATCGCCTTCATGTACCTCTTCCCGCTCATTGGGGCAGGAAGCGTTAATCCAGGGTCCGTCTGGGCATCCGCCCATCCGCGAGGACCAGTGACCGAGAACGTGCAAAACCAGTACTTCATCAAGGACAACGGTCGCAGGGTAGATCCGACCTGAAGTCCTCGTGAATCATGGTCGACCAAAGATGATGACCAGCCTCTCGCTGAACATCTGACGAAACGCGTCGAGCAACAGTGGACAACTTCGATGAGGATCACCGCCTCAAGCGATTCAATCGAGGAGATCATGAGATGATGCCCGCGGCGTCACCTGCGGGGCAACCCGCTTCTTCCTCTCGCGAAGGTGCTGGTAATCCGAAGGTCGACAAAGAGGGTGACCATCCAGTCCTTGTTAAGGCAGTTGGCCCTACAGCTGCTGCTCATGAGTCAGAGTGCACCTACGCGACTGACAGCAGCGAGTCAGTGAATGCGGATTTGGACGTCGCTTATCCAGCGACGGAGGACATGAATTTGACACCGGGTACGCTAGTGTCGTATCATTCCAGAGTAATTGGATGGATAGGCACCAAGGTACTGGGTAAGCTGCTCGATGGAAGATACAAGTTGGATTGTAAAGGCAAGGCTAACATCAGGAACATGTCACCTTACAGGCCAAACGCGAATCCTACTCCGGATGCAACCTCATCCAGGGACGCGGGGGAATTTGCAGCATCCGCGAGTGCGGTGACACCTGCTGATAAAGCAGATTGGGCCCCGAAGCCCCCGGGGCGATCCGAGCAGAAAAAGTTATCTGCGAAGGAAATTAATCAATCTCCATCAGCACGTGCGCCAAGGTCACCAGCCTCAGCGCCACCTGGTAAACAAAAGAAGAGAGCTGGCTCAGCAGAGGCCGACCCTGGAAGTAATGAGTCACAAAGAGCCGCGGCGGAACCTGCCCGCAGACCGCGCCCCCGGGGGCCGGCAGCGGCTGCTGCAGCATCGGCGCTCCGGGCAGCAGTGCGCCCGCGCCGAAGGATCCTGCAACCCTTCGGCCCGACTCCCAGCAGGCTCCAGAGGGGAGCTGGCTGGGCGCCATCATTGGAAAATGCATCCAGGGCGCGCCCCTCGCAGCCAGATGCAGATGAGGCGGCGGCCCAGACTGCGCCCAAGGCATCGGGGGCTGCTCCGAGGATCACCGGGCGCCAGTACTTTGATATCGGCGAAAAGAAGAAGTCGTCTTGGAGTGCAAGCTCATCCGCAGCACCAGCTGCGGCACTGGCCCCTCTGGGGGCGCCCGCTGAACCGTCGCCTGCGTCTGCGGGGCAACCTGCCACTATCCCTGGACTAAGCGAGGGAAGCAAGCGTTACTGGGAGACCCTGGGCACCCCTCAACAGATGACCGTCAACCCAGCACGCGGGCCCCATGCCGACCACGGTTCGAGCCGCTATAGAGAGGTACAATGCGAGACAGTGCGCCCCCACGCACGCTGATAAAGATGCCCTCGAACGCCAGCGTGTCCCCAACTATTTGCGGACGCAGCCTGCCCTCAGCTAGAGCTCCGAGGCTTAATCTATATCGCAGATACTGCATCATGAGCACGTCAGCACGAAGCTTCCGACGGAGAAAGGTCAGCGTCATTGTTCTGAGTGGCTCACCAAGGCCACTCGGCGCAAGCCATCTCACAGAGACCAAGTCTTTAATCGGCGCACGGACAGTGTCACCTCGTTCGACGAGTTCGACGGCTGGGTAGACCTCAAACTTTTGCTGGAAAATAGGCCGCCGAAGACGCGAAGACTGGCGCAGTCATCACCTGGGCGCAATCACGAAATGCCTCCGAGGCAGGCGCTGGTCATATTAAGCATTGGCCGTGCCTAAAAGATGCGAGATGTTCGACAACTCCGGCATGCAGAAGAATCGACTCCAGGTGAAGAAGGTTGAATTTGGCGGGGGAGCCCGCCCGACGTATCTCCATCGGCCCAGCATTGGACACGACAGTCCAGGCATCAGATGCCCAGAATCACTCTACTCACGAGTAGCAGACCTGAATGAGCTGGGAGCGCCGCGCTACTTCATGCACGGGGCCCAATGGGCGAGCATCCCGAACATGTTGCACGTAGGTCTGTCCTGCAGTTGACGACACTCCTAAAGGGGAGGGCAGGCAGATGATTCATGAATTTCCATACTTACCCAGAGACGGGCGGATTCAGTCGGGCTTGCGGATGGAACTCAAAATTCTGATTTTGGTGAGCCTCAAGAATCTACTTCGCGACAGCATGCCGGTCTGGCGGTCTGCCAACGACATCATCGCGACTTCGGGTGTCAATGGCCGGGCCCCGCCGAGTCAACTTGTCAAACTTATTGGCGTCGAGCCTAACGCTTTCTACGACCGAGTTGGGCAAGCATTGGTCAACGAATTCCATCTTGACGCTCAGCGGGATGGCCCGCCAAGTTCCAGAGCATGTACCAAAGGAATGGTACGAATGCGCATGCGATGTTTCCACGCTAAAGGGATGGGTGGTTCCGGATACTCCCTGCAACCTGCGCATCCCTACTCCGGCACCCACGGCGGAGGTGCAGCGTGCCTCGGTATTCATAATGCAGGAGTTGCATCGGGCGGGGGCGCCTGCAGGAGGCTCGGATGGATCACGGATTCAAGCTCGGAGCGCTGATACGTCTGGCACGACGCCCAGCGGAGTCACGCCGAACGACGGGTTGCATGCGAACGACCCGCGGTGTAATCAGGCGCACCAGCTGCCTGCGCCTGCGGGGCAACCCGCTGCATTTGCGCCCGCGAGCATGGCCGCGACCCCATTTGGCATTCCGCGTATAGTGCTGGGAGCACAAATAGCCCACAGGCCGGGCCCCAAGGCATTAGGATGGACCCTCAGCTCTACCACAGCTTGCTGGCCACATCACCCTTTGCATCTCCGCGTGCTGTTGCGGGGAAACCTGCCATCACAGACCAGGGGGCTGCCCAGAGGACCGAGAGCCTATGGGGACAGCAGCAGTGGATGCATATACAGATGCGAGAGGCGATGGAGAGCATGAGGCGGGACGGATTAGATCTTCCGAGCGCCAAATGGACTCCGCCCTGGGGGTATGTTCCAGGCTAATCCATCGCTGGGCCATCCAAACAGGTATGAATACATGCCGACTTTTCAGCCATCCAATCTATGATCCGACGGCTGCCGAGCGGCCTGCGGCACCGCAAATGGATTCACCCATGGTTCCTGATTACTATGCGCAGACGACGGTTATCCCTCGGGTCGGTAGCCAAGCAGAAAACCCGTACGCACGGGCGACAGCGGACGGCTTCTCTAGGTCCAAGTTAACACGGGGAGCCGGATGCGAGGCCAGCCCCCCTGGCCAGGTGCCCCACTATGGGTACCTGGCAGCCCCATGGACCAAGAAGTGAATTAAGGCGGTCCAGAGTACCTGCATCGATGGGAGAGCTGCGTCCTGAAATATTGGCCATCCATGAGGCGCAGCAGGCCAGCCTCTCAATGCACCTTGCTCGTCAAAGGCGCAATCAGGAGCGGCAGCTACTCCGCATGATGAATCGTGCGGGGGCACCCGCTGCTCCTCCAGCTGCGGGGCAACCCGCCATGAGTCTTGCAGCACTTGTTGCGATGGGAGAAATGCTTGTAGGGCCACCAGTCAGCAACGCCACCGATCATCAGCGACGATGATTTCACCAAGTGTGCCATATGCCTTGAAGAGTTTGCAAATCACGACAAGGGGTGGAGGCTTCAACGTGGCCATATTTTTCCATGCGCAGCGTTGGGAATGTGTAGCGACAGCTGGGAGGTGCCCCAAGCGAGGCACCATGTGCCATCTGCAAAGGCGTAGGCGAGTTTCATTACGCCCTTGCCTGGGAGCATCAAGCATCGGACCGACATGGGGAATACTCTGCGGGGCAAATGAACTCAGAGACCTCCGCGAAGAGCTGAACCGCATCACGGCTATGATGACAGGCGCCACAGCAGCTGCAGGGGCACCTGCTGCATCTGCGGGGCAACCTACTGCACCTCCATATGCGTGGCCAAACCCAACAGCAACAATGTCAGCTACAGAAATGCAGATGCCTCTGGTAGCCGAGTCAGCAGCAACTGCAGGGACACTTGCTGCAACGACGCCAGCAGAGTTGCCTGCTAATGACGCGCGGCTGATGCGCATGGAGAGAGTCACGGAGGCAAGCAGGCGAGCTCACAATGGCTTCGCGCGCCATATGGCAGGGCGCGGGGAAACGGGGAAACCCGCTGCGCTCGCGCAGAACCGAGAGCCCGGCGAGCGCGCGCTCCG